TTCAATTCAAAAACTTTATTTGTCCCCTTGGGGCAATTTAAGAAACATAGAGCAGTTGGATCAACAAATATATAATTTAAGGTGCAGGTACATGTGATGTGTGGGAAAAAGTTAAAGTTAGTTGTTGGAGGCCTTGAGGAATGACAGAAGTGAACATTTTTATATCTTTATAGCTTTTCATTTGTATGGGACCTTTCCTGTGCTTGCTTTTTATCCGCTGTACTGAAAACATACTGGACCAAAAATGTATTTCTTTTTTTAAGTAGAGATGTATGAGGATGGTGAAGCATCTTGCACTTTTATCTTGTCCAGTAGTCCTGCTGTCATACTGCAGATATAACAGTTCTTCAATTCAGTCTTTGATCTTTATGTTGAGCTGATAGTGTTGCTTTTTTTTTTTTTTTTTCTTAAATCCAGGTACAACACATGAATTTGTCTCTGTAAATATTTTCACAGGGTCTTATTCTGTTTCGGGTTGCAGCTCTTGTTTGGGATGTAATGTTCCAGACCAGACTAAACTGCAAATCAACCCAGTTCCAGATGTGCCAGCTTTCATGGTGTGACTCAGCATCCCCTCATATGTATTAGTGCACATGCATGCAGCTGTGGCCAGCAGTGGCTGCAGAGAGGGATAGTGCAACCTGTGTACATGTCTGTGTGCTTTTTGTGCATTTGTGCAGTGTCTTGGCTCCTAAGGGACACAGTGTTATAACTCTGACAACAGGTTATGGTTCGTCAGAGTTTCTAGTGATTGCTCTGATAACATGAAGCACACTGGCAGCCTGTCCAGGGTGCATGCTGCCTCTCACATAAGTCAGCTGGGATGGGCTACGGCCTCCCACCATCTTCTCCAGGATAGAACTGGTATACATAATGAAGAGTTGTTTTTTTTTTTCATCAACTCCATAAACTATTTGAAATAGTGGCAAAGTGATTATTTTCCACTGTATTTTCGACAGCATTGTTTGTCACAATGGAAACAGTTTCAAGATACCAACTGCAGCACCAGTCCCTCCCTTCCCATTAAGGGTCTCGCACACTCTAAGAGTTCAACAGACAAATGGCTCCGAAACATTTTTTCCTTTTTTAGGAAAAGCAAAAGGCTGATGGCATTAAGGGGCTAAATATTGTGGACAACACTGCAAATCAATCTACATCTGCTGTACATTTCCATACATCACTGTGCACCTTCATTTGTCAGACATCTGATTATTGTGGCTTCAACTGGTCTCTAAAATGAATGTATAAATTGCTGTTTAAATACATCACAATACACAATTTGGGTCGACATTTTTAGTCTTAACAGCAGCAGTGTGATTTAGAACAAAACCCACAGTGCTTTGCCTTTTAGACTGACACCTATTTAGTGTGAGTGCTATCAACCTAAAGACAGAACAAGTGAAAATATTGAGACATTTACATTGGAATGGAGCTGTAATGGGTTTCTCATTTTCTGGAGAGATTCTGCTGATATTAGGGAGCAATCACTGTTAATCAGCTGCCTCGCTGTTTTAATGCAGCTGAATTTCTGATGTATTTCTTCTCATTTGCGTATGAACCAGAATGCAGGTTGATGACAGCAGCTGTGCTGAGACATGACTTATACTCATGTTTATATTGAGGGATCCATCCATCCATCCATCCATTATCTATACACCCTTAATCCTCACTAGGGTCGCGGGGGGGCTGGAGTCTATCCCACCTGACTCAGGGTGAAGGCAGGGGACACCCTGGACAGGTCACCAGTCTATCACAGGGCCACACTTAGAGACAGACAACCAAGCACACTCACATTCACACCTACGGACAATTTAGAATCACCAATTAACCTCAACATGTTTTTGGACTGTGTGGGAGGAAGCCGGAGAACCCAGAGAGAACCCACGCTGCACGGGGAGAACATGCAAACTCCATGCAGAGAGATTCCGGTGCCCCCACTGGGACGCGAACCGGCAACCTTCTTGCTGCGAGGCAACAGTGCTACTGAGGAATCCATCTCTGCTAATATAGTATGACAATATGAAAGTACAGATGAGTGTCCAGCAGAAATTGTCTCAGGATGTCGGACCACTAATCACCAGTAACTGACTTTCTAATGCTTACTCCACCTTTAACAAGCAGACCTGCAATAATTAATCAAATAATCAATCAGCAGTCAACTATGACTTTAATTGCTGACTATTTTGATAATCAATCAATTAGTCTGATTTATTTGATCTTCCATGACAGGAAACTGGATATCTTTTGGTTGTGGACCAAGCAAAAGGATCTCATCTCTTTTGGAAATCGTCATTTTTCAATATTTTCTGGCATTTTATGGTCAAACAACTAATCGATGATAAAGGAAATTAGCAATGGGTTAACAGATGAAATCAATAGATGAAATGCTGTATAGTTGCAGCCCTGGTGAGCCCAGTCAGGTAAAGGTCTGCTTTCACTCACAGCTCTAACCTTCTCTCTCTGGTTATGCTTTCCCTTTTTTCATGATTTTTTTTTCCCTGGCAGCTCCACATCATGTCAGATTCCAAATCTTGTAAATCAAGTCTCTTTTTTCGCTTCCCCCTCTGCCTCGCTCATGTCTCCTCTCCCTCTCTCCCTCTCTCTCTCTCTCTCCCTCCATGCTGCTGTCAGTTCCTATGAGCAGACAGGCCCGTGTTGTGTTTGGGCCACACAGGGCAGCTGAAGCTGAAGCCACCTGACTCACAGGCTCTCGGCTGTTGAGAGGGAGAATGTCACTGCACATTGGGTTGCCTTCACGTTACACAAGCACACGCACACAGCAGACAAACATACAGCCGGGGAAAGTGCACGCACATGCTCACAGTGCACAGATAGTACTCACACTGAGCAAGCCAAGCAAATCCAGAATACACACACGCGCGCACACACACACACACACACACACACACACACACTGCCACACTGGGCCACTGAGGCTATTTTTAGCGCGGCCGCTCGTATGCAGACTCATATTCAACAAGAAATGCACATGATGGCTGTGAATGAAGACGCGGTATATTTTGGCATGTTGTGATTTGCCACTGCTGTCAGATGGGGATGGATTCATGCTGTCACCTCTGTCGGTTCGAGGACGGAGGGACGGAGTGGTGTCAGAGCGATATCTCACTCAGGGCGTCCTCCCACTGAGCATGTGCGGAACGCTGGATTGAAATTTTGGGGCTGTTTCTTCTTTGTGTGCTCTGAACTCGAGTGACTGCAAATAATCACATCTGGACGCCGGAAATTTCAGTTTGCGGCTGCCCCTTCACAGTGATTCATCAGCACTAGAGACCTGGTTCTGGTTCTGAACACACCAGGTCTGAGATGGTTCTGCTCAGGTTTGTTCTACAGACAGTGACGAGTGAAGACAAAGGCCTGGAAAGCCTGTACGTCATAGGTGTTTAATCACCAAAGAGGAGTTTGTGTCTCATTTTGCTTACAAGAAATTTTGAATGTGCCGAGATTTTCAAGTGAATTTGCATATTTAGCTTCAAGAGCTGACAGAAACAGCTCATTCTTACTTTCCAGCCCAGGTAGTTGTCTCAGGACACATCTACAGTTTCCTTTACTCATTCACATTTCTCAGAAGATTCGTTGATCTCAATACACATTTGCTTATTCGTTCACAAATATGAGTGCACACAGACTGAGACGCAAGTATATGTACATCCATTTACAGATAATATGAATGCAGTCCCCATAGACTTTGTACATAGGAGAACATGTTTTTTTTGTTTGTTTCCTTTTTATTTGACAAGAATAAATGATTTTTTTTTTTTTTTTTAAAAAGCTCCAAAACGTACTATATTTGTTATCAAAAGAGTTGGCCCTTGGTGGCTCTGACTGCTGATATTGCTAAACCTCTTACCATAAAGTTTCATGATAGTGTAACTCAGCACTTCCTGATGTCAACATTTTGGAGGAAATGTGAAGTCAAGTTACAGCTTGACATGATTCTTAATGCACTCATGGAATTAGAGGTGTGGAAATGAACTTTGTGCTGAGTTTGACTATAGGTGGAGTGTGTGTTAATGGAAGAACATAGTTAATCAGAAATAAAGGCCTGTCTCCAACATACCATATACATATACACGGCAGGAGAGTTTACGGTGTTCTGTGGTTTCCGGCAGCTGGACTTGAAGCTGCCCTGAGTGAAGTTCGTCTTTTAAGCATTTCAACATGACCTACATTTGTGCTTGGTGGTGACTCTGCTCAAGTGATGCTGTAGAACAATCTGAGCGAGCGTGACACACAGGCCCTGAGATCACAAACCTCACAGCAGGGTGCACAGGGAGAACATGCAAACCCCACACAGAAAGGTCCCAGGAGTCCTAACCGGGACGCGAACCGGTGACAGTGCTAACCACAGAGCCACCGTGCAGCCCCTGAGAAGCTCCATCTTTGCCAATTAAAACGTAACACAATGAGACATTTAAACAACACAACTTTCATGATCCTGCAATCACCTCATGATCGGACAGAAATATCATGTTCTCTGAACCTGCAACAGGTTTTTTTATATCAATTTTAATTAATTATGCACTTGTGTCAACTGTGACTTCATCACATTTTAAGCTTGAGTACATCCCCGGTGAGGTGGGGCAGAATCTGGTGCTGCTGTTGGTCATTGTACCTTCTTTAAATTTACACTAAGGTCTTGTTTCCCACGCTTGAGCTGTTCACGTAGTGCTTCTGTCACAATAAAAACAGAACAAATGTGTTTGTTGGTTGGTTTTATTATACAATACTTTTAGGTGTTGAAATGTTTCGAACTGACACATGCAGTTGTTGGGAACAACCATTAGTAGAATATAGCAGATGACTTTCTGCAAAGTATTCATGGTGTTTGTTTTTTTTTGTTTTTTTATTTGTCCTTATTTTCTAGCTGATACATTCCCTCAGGGTATCTTTCTTCACTTGCAGTTAATACTTAATTGTTCATATTTTGCCTCCTTCCAGTGTTTCATCATGTGTGTATTTGTTTTATTATCTCATTGCAGCTATCCATGAGTTCCCCAGGGATTACTTCACCAACCAGGAGCGCACTGAAGGAGCAGTGGGTCTTCATGTCCTCTGTGTGAGTTTCACCTGCAGCCCTCTACAGGCACACTTACAGCAGACTGTTGTGTGTGTTTAACATGTCCAAAGTAGTTCCGCTTTCTTCAATTTGTGTATATTGTGGAACAGTGGAGACACACGTTAACCGGCTTCTGTGAAGGAAACAAGATGGTGTCACAAAAACAATTCCTTAAAAAGACACTGGTGAAGCTAGTGGTGGATAATAATTGCTGCTGATATTTCCTCCCACCAGGGTTACACCAGCGCTGCAATGGGGCTTTTGTTTAACAAAAAAAAAAAAGATAAAGCTTTCAACCACAAGAACTTTCTCCAAAATGACAGTTTTTCTTTAAACTAACTAATGTGATCACACCTCTGGCTCCTACTAGAGAGAAATGGGAGGACAACCTGAAAAAGTGACCTTGGATAGCAGTTAGTTATTTTAAAAATCTGCTTTAAAATTGTCTGTGAGTCAGAGTTATTTGTACTTTTTAAATCCAAGGTTATGAATTGCAAATCAAAACATACAATGCCAAAATCACACAATGACATCATTTTATGAAAGACAAGCCAAACAATGTTCAACACAAAGATTATGAAAACCAAGACTTGGGGCTCATACAGCAAACGCCTGATCGCTACATCCTCAGAAACTCCGACCCACAAGTCCTTTCTCTGATGACCCAAGAGGCCAGTGGATCTGAACGGGATAATTCACTGATTTTAGGTGGTGCCAAGTTGTATATAGGCCTCAGAAGTACTCATCAGAATTCTACATTCAGATCAATGTTGTCACTGTAGTGAGGACAGCAGTGTGGAGGGCTGAATGAAACGAGTCCCAGTTAGAAGTCATGTAGTCTTGTTTGTGATCTCTCTTGCAGTTTTGCACAGAGTCTGCACGTCCTCTCGTAGACTGAGATAACAAACTTTATATCACAGCACAACGCTGGCCTCAGTTTGCTTTTGCGTCTCAGCTTCACCAAGATTACAGTGCATTACAAAAATCCATAAAAGAGGACACAAAGTGATGCATGAGTTGTTGTAGCTGCTGTACTGTGTAAGAAAAGACACAGTTTGGCAGTGGTTCTGAAAATAACTGGACTGGATAACTAACTTAATACAATCCCAGAAATTTGCTCAGGAGTCAAAGATGATGGCAAAGTTTCTGGACGCTTGTTTGAGTTGGCAGACAGAGGAGCTGAGTGCTGGTGTAAAATTACAAGGTTGTCATTGGAAGTAAAGCCAAGAACTCTGATTTAGTTCAGCAACAGAACACTATAGTCTGCGGCACACAGCCTGGTCAAGACGAGACTCTTGCGCCATATTGCGCTGAGTTTGGGCCAAAGCTCAGGTTCAAATTTAGCGAACATCAAATAATGATAACAGAACTAGTGACAACACTGGAAACACTTATATGTTCTCAGCATCTGTCTCGCCTGTTTGTATACGTGTCCTGATCCTGTGTCTGTGTGTCTTTTGGTCCCTGCAGGCCGTCTACATGTTCTACGCTCTGGCTTTGGTGTGTGACGACTACTTTGTTCCCTCGCTGGAGAAGATTTGTGAGGTAAGAAACCAATGCAGGTTGTTACCGTGCTTCCACTCAGCTTCCATCTCCGCACACTCTGTCACTAATGCTTTGTGATGGATCTCTGTCCTGTTCCGGCCCTTTCCCTGCCCGTCAGCGTCTGCACCTGAGTGAGGATGTTGCTGGAGCCACTTTTATGGCAGCAGGCAGTTCAGCACCTGAACTGTTTACATCTGTCATTGGTGAGAAGCACACACACTTATACACACCCGCCATATATGTGCATTTAGTTGTGATACGTTCACACATCTTTTGAGGGAAATAACACAAAACAACTTGAAAAATCATGTAATATTTACGAGAGTCAAGACTAAATGATACAACTGATAACCTGTATAATACAGTTACAAACACACAGAAGGACTTGTAATACCTTTCGTAGTTCATTCAGCAGCCAATGAGACAAACTTCTTGGACCGCTCCAGCAGTACCAGCATGTATCCATCTAAAACGTGGACAGGCAGCTTGCTGTGGAGTAATCTGTGTTTCCTGCTGTACAGGAGTGTTCATCACTAAAGGTGATGTCGGGGTCGGCACCATCGTGGGTTCCGCTGTCTTCAACATCCTCTGCATTATTGGAGTGTGCGGGATATTTGCTTTGCAGGTACAGAACATAACACACAGATTTTTAGCAAGCATTTTAAACACTGTAGTAGTGAGTGCAATGAAAGTAAAGACACATGCTGAATAGTGACGTCTACCTCTTACACAAACACATGAACAGACAGAAGCTCAGCCCTCTTTGTGTTTAGACTTGTAAATGTCTGTGTTCATCTGAAGTTGCTAGTTCACATTAAAGCCCTCAGACAGAAACTGTGCCCTCTCTGTGGTGAATGTGAAGACCTCATCCGTCCCGTTCTGCTGTAATCCGACGAGGAAGAGAAACATACTTGAAAGTTGTTGTTTTTTGTTTTTTTTGTTGTGGGGGGCGGGAGGGTTTCCCTGATTTAGATTACATGTTACGTAACACCCAAACAGACAGACACACACACACACACAGCACTTGGTTTATCTTTTTGGTAGTGCGCAGCAGTGAGTACCTTGTGGGATGTGTTACTCAACAGGACAAAAATGCAGCTCAGTGTCTGCAAGTTTTAGCATCATCTCAGTCCTCTTTTCTCTGTCTTTCTTTTTCCCAGACAATACGTCTCTCCTGCTGGCCTCTGCTCAGAGACTCTGTCTACTACACCTTGTCTATAACTGCTCTCATAGTGGTAAGAAATGACTTGATGTTATCATAGAACATGCAGTAGATCATTCTTTAACCCTCTGAACCCCCAAACCTGTCCAAATCCAAGCCTCAAACCATAATACTTCATCCAATTAATTTTATTCAACATCTAATTTCAAAGTTTGCCATAAATAAACACCAGATCTTGTAAAGAACAAACAATTCTGCGCTCCTCAGCACAACTGAGATATAATGTATAATATATGCATAAAGTACATTTATTGTATTTAATTCTTTCATTTTCACTTCTCTGCTGTTTTTCTCTTCCATATTACAGTTCATATATGATGAGAAAGTGGTTTGGTAAGTCAGATATTTCATAGTTTTGGCTGTTCAAAATGAATCACTAAAATAAACCATACCAATTTGAGTTACAACTGCAAATTACAGCATGTAGTAAAACACATAATGAATTGATCCCACCTGTCTTTTCCAGGTGGGAAGCTCTCACGCTGATTCTGATGTATTTCGTTTACATTTTGATAATGAAGTGAGTATGATTCACCAATTACACGACCTGAATGAATAAAATACCGTACATCTTGGTGTGTGTGTGTGTGTGTGTGTGTGTGTGTGTGTGTGTGTGTGTTCAGTGAAAGATTTGAAAAGCATTTTTTTCTGCTTTGTCATAATGTTTGAACTGTAGATGTGTTTATAGAAACTAGAGAGTAAATTGCATCCTCTTAACAATGACTGAGTGACACTGATGTGACTGAACCTGTTCTAAAAATTCTCCCTGATTTGCATGAAGTAGTTTGATATAGCCAATATACTGTAAATTGGACCTTCTCCAACAACTGTATGTAAGAAGCAGGTTGTATTATTTAGGGAATAAAGTATTTATTTCTTACTGAACACACAGCAACAAAGAAACTTTAAGTCTTAAAGAGCAGAGAGGGCTCTGTGATATGGAAATTTAAAAATAAATAAACTGCAACCAAACAGGACACAGCTTACATCTGAGGACATGAGGTCTGTAGCTGGTTTCTTTGCACAGATTTGTCTAAGATTTGTATTATTTTTCATCACCACCAAATTGATTTTCCCATTTATGCTACAACCAAAATGCAAATATTAGTATTTTTTATTGTTTTTTCAAACTATACTTTCTGAGTCAGTTGTGGAATTAATGACACGAATGTTTGGGAAATAAATTAGAAAGCACCTGAAGATGACAGCAGTTACCTGAAAATACCCCACGGCATGCAGCCAGTAAGAACTTAATATTCTCAGCAGGTACAGTGTAAATAAAGATATTTATTGTTGATAAAAAATAAATAAATTAAGAAAAACAAAAACTACATAAGACATGAGCTTCAGATTAATACTGTAGCACAATATCTGTTGCAGATCTAATGAGGAATCCATCCTCTTCCCTTATTTAACTATAAAAGGCCCTGCATCAGCTCAGTGAAGCCGAAGTGGTACAAAGATCTGAAGCTCTGTAGCAGTTCCACATGTGCCATACAGTTTGTAAATTCAACCTGACTTGTGTTCCAGGATGAACTCCTACGTTGTTCGTTTTCTGGAGAGGCGGAAGAAGAACTCGTCCAGTTTGAGGAATGGTGCGGCCAGTAATGCTGAACTGGACGATGGCTGCGATGCTACGGCTGTTCTGTTGAAAAAAGGTAGACTTTTTGTTAAGCGGCGATTAAGCAGCACTTTAATGTTTATTATACCAACTAAATAAAAGAAAATCCATGTTAATTACTGAGATGTAAAGGTGTAGGTTCGACTGTTTGAACTGTGGATGAAGCTGGGCTCGCTGTGTCTTCCTGCTTGCAGTCTTTATGTGAGCTAAGCTAACTGTCTTCCTGCTCAATCTCTGCACTTAAAAGATGATTCCAGTTTATTTCAACTTGCCATATTTCTTATTAATCTGTTGTTGGTGTTCTGAAAACCTGAATTTTGCTCAAATCCTAATGCCCAATCCATTCAGCTAATTTTCATCTTTATTATTTGTTAAGAACTTCTGTAGGTCAGCTTGCTCAGTTATCAAGGATCTGATACTGTGCCTCTGAGATATGTTTGTTTTAGCACATATGTTCCAAGATGCAGAATACAGTAGATCTGTGTGTTTTCCAGCAGTCAAAGTACATTGATGTGTATGTGTCCTGCAGCAAACCACCACAGGAAGCCATCCGTGCTGATGGTGGACGAGCTGCTGTCGGCATACCCCCACCAGCTGTCCTTCTCCGAGGCCGGCATGAGGATCATGATCACCAGCCACTTCTCCCCCAGAACCCGCCTCACCATGGCCTCCCGAATGCTCATCACTGAGGTAAGGGCGCACACAGGCGCTCTGCCACTGCACTTCTGATTGGAAAAACAGGGAGAGAAAAAAAAAAAAAAAGAGATTGCTGAGATTTCCAATTTGAAATGGACTGCAGTGTGTTTTTTTCTCAGAGAGGACAGCCTTTCAGACAGCCTCTTTAACAAGGTAATCTGGAGCTGCACAGAGGCTCTGGCCTGCAAATCAGTTCCAACACTGAGCATTTTAGACATGACCTGCTATTGTACAAGACCTGGTGTAGCCATTGGGGGGAGAAGAATGACGTGACATTTTGTGTTTCCTTCCACAAATACCTTTCAGTCCCTCACTTCCCAGAACTTTTCTCAAAAAGACATTTGCTAGTGTTTTATTCAGAGTAATTTAGATTTTCTTGATTTCATCACAGCACCTGATATCTGTGCATTAAACACCTTGAATGCATTGATAGAAATTGGTTGCACATAGCCTAATCTATTGGAGTTTCAATATGTTTGCATGTGTCAGTACCAGCAGTGATAATGACAGACTGCTAATAAGGATGTCCAGAGACCAGGTTTTTCTAATGGTACTTTGCAATATAAGCACAAGGAGAATGATGAGCAGGAGAAACCAACACATACACATAACCAGCTCAATCTGAAACTCTTCAGAGCCTCGGGCAATATCACAAAAATGTACATCTAAGTTGTCACAATATTTGTTTGAAATACAACAAATAATACATTTTTTCTCATATTACAAACGTACTCTTTTAAACTGTGTCCCAATCTGGTCTGAACCATAAAGGACTCAATGAAATGATCTCGGCTTCTCACACATGTGACACAGAGAAACTTTTAAGCACATATTCCATGAGCTTTTTAGCTGAAGTCTTTTTTTTATCATCAATAATGAACAGTTAAAACTAAAACTTACCTGCAAATGTCCAGATTGGTGTGGTTAAGATGCTGAATGGTGGAGTCCTGAGAGAAAGCAACAAACTAGTTTCTACAAAGTTTCATCCAGACTGTTCCAAAGAACCGCACTTGAAGGTAAAAAGCCTGCCATCGTAGAGAGAGGGGAGATGTGATAGTCATTCAAATGGAGATAACAGTGCACACTTTCACTCTCTGCTCAAAGGCATTCATGGTGTTGCACTCTGCTGTTCATGAACAAGTTTGTGTAAAAATGGGAGCTGAACGGAGCCTTTCTACTTTATTTGGTTATAAAAAAAAGATTCCTCAAAATGAAATTGGTCGAACAGACACAACAAGCACAAATGTTTGCATGAATGACATTTATTTAAGGTCAGATGAGGCTGTTTCCATCAGTGAAATATGTTTCATGCTGAGCACTGAGAGCTGATCCAGCCCTCCTTCTGAGTTTCTGTGTGTGTGTTGGTGATGTGCAGAGGCAGCGTCTGATCAGCACACGGACTCTGACCAATGGCGACTCTGATGTCCCTGTGAAAGGAGGAAGCAGGCGGGGCATAGAAAACGGTCTGTCTGGGGCCGAGAGGGGCATCAATGTACGCCACGAAGATCGAGAGGCGGGCAATGAGACAGAGAACGAGGACAACGAGAACAACGAGAATGATGAAGAGGAGGAAGAGGAGGATGGAGAAGGACCCTTTGTACCCTTCCAGTGCCCAGGTATCTGCTGGACGAATGAATGGTTTTCTGTCACTCTTGTTGGAAAACATGTTTGATTGCAAGAGTGAGACTGGACAGGTATAAAGGGCGCCAATTACTTAGCCAACTAGTTTAGCATAAACACCTACATCAGAGAGCAAGAGCCAGGCTGCAGCACAGGTTTTAGTTGGGGGGCAATCATGCTCTAGGTGTGTTTCCATCCCACTGTATCTATACGCATATAACAGCCCTGGGTGGATATAAACAGGCATTCATTTGCATTTTCTTTTGTAGATTTTCCTAAAAATTTGGCTCAAACTAATGCCTTGTGTTTGTCAACACAAACTTATGCTTGAAACTCACTGTGACCAGCACTTGCAAGAAATGATCCCAGCGTGGAACTCCTTCTAAAATAACAACGCATACTTTTCACATTTTTATATGACGATCACAATCGACAACACAAGATGTGTTGAGATTTACATGTGTTGGTGGGCACATTTTTAAACCTTGCTTTCAGTGTTTATGCAGAGCGAGGCTATCTAACTATGTCCAACTACGAGACTGAAAGAAAGTAAATAATTGTATTTGAAGGAAAACATTTAAAATATATTTATATTTATTTCATTTTTTGTGCAGTGTGTGAGTGTGATTTTCCCCATAATGCAGTTACATGCAACAGTTCCAAAAAAGACTGCCAGTCATGCACAAACTCCCAGTTAGCTTTTATTTTATTTTGGCAAACTGTGCTTTGAGTTTCTACCTAGACAGTCAGCATTTGTCTTCAGTGCATTACTCACACACACACACACACACAATGGACAAACAGGCTTGTCAAACTGAAACTACTTCATTAAAAGGATGAAATGAATTGAAGGATGAAAGGAAATGAACTGATACATTTACTGTTAGATCGTATCTAGTTTAGATAGAAATGTGAATAATTTGATTAAAACACAGTTTAAAAAAAAAAAGCCAAACCACCACTCTGATATTCATCTTTCATTGTTCTCTCTGGTGTTACAGTTTATTGGTAATCAGATGCAGATGAGTGTGTGTACATCAAATTGTGTCTTTATCAAGTTTAAGGTTAAACCAATTTTCCATTTTGATCTGATGTTAAATTTCATGCTGATGATTGTTTTGACTCCTGCTTTCTTTCAGTTGTTTAAGTATGATCATTTATTCGTCTGCGTCACGTTTAATATCAGATATGGTACGGAGAAATTCTGCAACAAAGTGTAAATGCGATCTGATGAAACACGCTTTAGTTAGACTGCAAGTTATTCTAACCGATAGACGATAGTGTCAGTTTAAAGGGTATCCGTCTTTCCTCTGCATACAGTCCATGTGTGTCAGCCTTGGTCCGGTGCAGTGCTGTATCATGCTTCATGTGTGTGTGTGTGTGTGTGTGTGTGTGTGTGTGTGTCCAGCCGGTGTGGTGAACAAGCTGAAGTGGCTGCTGGCCTGGCCCCTGTGTCTGCTGCTCTACTTCACCGTCCCCAACTGCAACTCGCCTCGCTGGGAGAACTACTTCATGCTGTCCTTTGCCTTCTCCACCATGTGGATCGCCGGCTTCTCCTACATCATGGTCTGGATGGTAAGTGACAGTGGAGGGAAAAGACTGACACAGATAATTGTTTAGAATTTTGTGAAGCGTATTTGCCAGGACTTTTGACTTGAACTGAAAACCAGAGTGGAAGGAAAAGCAAAGTAGTAAAGTAGGTGCATGAGTGGAAACATAAAGGCAATTTGTTAACACAATGATAAGTGCAGACAAAAAGATGCACGAGGAAGAAGACAAACAAAATGATTTTTTTTTTTTATTTGCTCGCCTGGGAAATGTTAAAAGTGTGAATGAACATTGCAGAATGCTAAAAGCAGTGAGTGTTGGTAAGCTCAGAGCTGTTATAAAGCTACTACATTGTTTACCTTCTCCAGTAGCTACCATATGAAAATGTTTACCACAAATACAGTCAAAGTAAAAAGGCTTTAATTCTTAAAGTAGTTTTTGTCAGAACATAGGGTCAAATGGATAGAGCATATAATAGAGTCCACTTACCAGTTAGCATTAGGGAGCGTGCTTGTTGCTTAGATTTTATGGATGCTAATTAGGTTCAGATAAGTGCACAGTACAGCTGTCAGACAAAGTTAGCTGCTAAATATAGCGTAGCACTTAGTAGCTAAAGAGCTAGCTATTTAGTCTGAGGGCGAAGGGGAGAGGTCGGATAGAAAAATGGCTCTAAACAGATGCTAATGTTGCTCAGAGTTTACTAACACGATCACCATATACATTTTGTTGACTATTATAAGTCAGACAACCAAGCTGTTTTAAAGCTGACGCTACAAACATGTCAGGTTACACACTAAGGAGATATTTAGTGTAGCATCAGGTGCTAAAGCTGCTTGAATTGATACTGAAGACTGGGGGACGAGCTTTGATGTGATGAACACATTAGCAAACACTGACACATTTACAGAATCAGTTTAGTTGACTTTAGAGCTAACTCATGAGTTTAATAGTCTAAATCACACTTGGTTTTGCCACTCTGGGGGCAGTATTTGACACCAGACACCCTTTCCCGGCTGAATTATGGAGGCTGCGGTGGTATTTAGTATTTAGTATTTTTGTCTTTCTTATGATTTATGATATTATTACTGTGTCATTCTGCACAAAAGACATTACTGAGTTCTCCCTACTTCTTGCCGTTGTTACGCTGTTTCCATGGAGGTGCAGGACTTTATATTACAGTGAAAGATTAAACCACAGTGAGTAAAAATGTGGCAGGAGAAGAAGTGTTGGAGTTTAAAGGGTTAAATTACTGTCCAGATCGATGAGCCAAACAACAGAGACCACAAGGAATATTTTAACCCCCACGTCCCCCCGTTATGTTAATCCAATCCTAAAGGGGTTTAAAAAGCTCTGCAGAGCTGCAGTCAGGTAACCATAGGGTTCACAGAGGGTTTGTCACTGTGAGACACATCTTCCAGACATCATTGTATTCATTGTTAATTTAAGAATATTGGTTAGTGCATTCTTCATTTTCTAGTTTATCTTTAATTTATGTGCCAAATGACAATAGTAACATTTAGAATTTTTGGTTCAAGCCCATCTCACGCTGTTTTCATTTTTCTCCTGTCTGTCCTCCAGGATTTTCTGACTGTCAAAACACACACAGTTAATACTCTGCCTCTGCCTTTGTGTATCTGTCAGGTAACAGTGATAGGCTTCACACTCGGCATCCCAGATGTCATCATGGGCATCACCTTCCTGGCAGCCGGAACCAGCGTCCCGGACTGCATGGCCAGCCTCATAGTGGCGCGACAAGGTATTCAAACACAAACTGGCTAAATGACAGCTTGCCAAGCTGTTTCACCTGCGATCTGATGGAAGCCAAACAACAGAATCAAAGGCGCTATCAAAGAGCTGGGGAGGGGAGGAGAGGACGGAGATAGAGATGGGTGAGGAAGAGGAGAGGGGGGTAAGGATGGTGAACCTCTCATCGGTTTCCACTGTCCCCCATAAAAGAAGAGAGTGAAGACAGGCTGACGGGGTCCCTTCTTCCATGCTTTCATCTGTGTTTATTCTTGCTCCTGTCATCAAATATTTAACCAGCTGTGTGTGTGTGTGTGTGTGTGTGTGTGTGTGTGTGTGTGTGTGTGAACTCAGTGGGAGGCAGATACTCGCCACCACAGTCAGTCGTCCATCCTCTGCTTTGTAGCTGCTGTCGCTTCATCGTTGCTGCGTTATTGGGGCAGATCGCTTTCTGATCTCTGCTGTGCCCACCTTACTCCAGCCTGCCCACCCTTCTACCTTCCTGTCTTTTCACTGCCCACATGTCTTTTAATGCCACCTCTCTGTACCTCTTTGTTGCTTTACTTCTTCCCTTTTTTTCTGCTGCCTCACATCTCTCTCTCTCTCTCTGCCTGTGTGTTCAGGAATGGGAGACATGGCGGTGTCCAACTCCATCGGCAGTAACGTGTTTGACATTCTGGTGGGGCTCGGTCTCCCCTGGGCCCTGAAGACCCTGGCTATCAACTATGGCTCTGATGTAAGTAGCACACTGCGTGTCTGACTTATCACACCTCTCTTTCTCAGTGTCAAACCAGAACACACAGATGTCATATGCAGTAGCAGTCAAAGGTTTGGACATTCACTCACACTTTTTCTTTATTTTTTAATTTTCTACAGTGTTGTACAAAACTAAAGACTTCAAATCTATGACATATAGCACATTTGGAATTATGTAGTTAATATTTCTTTCAAGGATACATGTTTGATTTTTCAAACTAGCATCCTATACTGTTTTTTTAACTCATCTGATCATGATGATGGCGGTCAGGTAATTGGATGCAGCTCTCTATCAACCTGCTTCTTGGTCAAACAACCTTGAAAATACCTTGAGACAAAGAGTCTCAAGGTATTTTAGGCTCATTATTCTGCTGAAAAATCAACACTGATGCCACTAACCAGATGGGATTGTGTTAAAAGGGGGTCTGGGAACCCAGGTGGAGACACTGACCAGACAGGCAGGAGGAATGAACAAAGTGGTTTATTTAAATAATAGGATAAAACTGAAAACAACATGAAACTAACAGAGGGGGGAAAACAGAACGGGATAAACTAGACTAAATTCAGGAAAGGGGCAAAATTACAAAAACCTAAGAAAAACTCAACACAAGAGGAGAAAACTACTGTGGATAAACTGACTAAACCAGCAAAACGGGGATACTCACAGGACGGGGTACTAGAACAGAAGGATCGGGGGCAGATAGGCTCAGGGAATGTAGGCTGGGGAGTGGGTTGCTGATGCATCGGGGTGCAGGTGGCAGAAGAAGGCAGGCAGGAGACAGAACGGGGATCGGCAGAACATGGAGGATGAAGGTTTATGGTCTGGCAGGGTGTGGTGGAATGAACTGGTTTTTCAAGGGAGCTGAGGTGATTGAGAGGAGGCGAATCGATCCCCACAGCTGTCTCCAATACCTGTACTGGCTGAGCAGGGCTGGAATGACTGAGAGGGTGAAGGAGGGAGATAGAGAGAGAGACAGATAGAAGCTGAGGCTCAGGCCGGGTGAGAGGGAGTGAAAAAGTGGAGCCAGGCAGGGGCTGAAGCTGGGATCCTGACCGATTGTTAGGTGGTGGGATGGTTGCCTCGACTTTTGAATAAATCTCCAGCAGCGTGTTCAACTTTTATGTACTCACTATTCAAGTCCATATGTGACGTTTTCGAACTTTGATGTCTTCAGTAGAAATTTCACATTTTGCTGCATCCATGAAGTTTAATTTGAAGTGGCCCCTGAAAATCAGCTTTCCTAACATCTACAGCTCACATATCACTTCCAGCAGTTTGTATTAAACCTGAAAGTATGTTTCACATACATCAAAAAATTATGAAGCAGTTTTGTGTGACCACTTTTTGTTTGTATCGCCTAAATGCTGGAAATTGTAGTGAAAGATTCCAAAAACACTCATTCAAATGTAAATTAAAAAAAAGAAAAACAAAGGCAGACAACATTGACTCGTATCTGCTTTCTGTGCAAAATGTTTTCCCTGTACAACTCACTCTCTCCTCTGTCTGCTCATGTTTGCGAATGTGCAACGCGTTGAAAAGGTGCGACTGTACAGAAGGAACAATCAAACAGCAAAGAAAATCTTGTGTAGGTTTGCTCATGTGGCATCATTTAATTCACTTCAGTAGGCTGCAAGGTGACTGGGTGGTTAGCATCGTCACCTCACAACTAAAAGATCCCCGGTTCGCTTCGCGGTTAGGACACCCGGGTTCTTTCTGCGTGGAGTTTGCATGTTTGCATGTTCTCCCCGTGCAGTCCCATGGGTTCTCTCCGGGTTCTCCGGCTTCCTCCCACAGTCCAAAAACATGCTTAGGTTAATTGGTGATTCTAAATTGTCCGTAGGTGTGAATGTGAGTGTGCTTGGTTGTCTGTCTCTAAGTGTAGCCCTGTGATAAGACTGGTGACCTGTCCAAGTGTCCCCTGCCTTCGCCCTAAGTCAGCTGGGATAGACTCCAGCCCCCCCGTGACCCTAGTGAGGATTAAGTGGTGTATAGATAATGGATGGATGGACAATTAAACATAATCTGGTCATTCTAAGACAATGCACTTTCCTTATGAACAGAGAACTACTGAGGAGAAAACAGGAAGACAGAAGAGATAAAACTGCTGCCATCAGAAGAACAACCTACTGTGAGGGTTAACAATATGTGTTGTGTTTTGATAGATGTGTAGGAGCTTTAAAGCCTCTCTGCAATATGTTGGGTTTTTTTTGTTGTTATTGCTGGTATTCAGCATTTGTTGTCAAGGATTAATTTTATATGAAAATGTGAGTGCTACAGTTGTAAACCCACCTGATGATTGGCTTTGGTAGACAGATTATTTGGTATGAACTTTAGTATGGAATCAACAGTTTAGCCAGGTGTTGATGTCGTAGAGTCCAAAATGTCTTCTGCCTCCCAACGCTGTGAAGGTAGATGTTTAAAAACAGAGACAGGGTATTTCAAAATGGTTGGATACCACTAAGGGTGAGCGGAGGAAATAATCATATGGGTCCTTTGAAACCTCCATAGCACGGAGCAGGACACTGAGTCACAGTTGGCCTCAGCTGGTTGTTCCCGTTTTAAGCGTTAACATGCAGACCAACAGAGCGTTAGAACCAGTATCAGAACTAATCATAGCTTCATGTGAAATATGTATTTCAGCGTGATGAAGTGAACAAGAGAAACTGTCTGTGTCTGTGCTCTGAAGTTAGCAGCTGAACAGATAAGATTCACATCACACTGTTGAAAGTTGATGTTTGAGTTTTGTTTGTGAAGTGATAACACACAGTCTCTGATGGATGAAGTGAGGAGATATGATTAAAACAGGGAGAGATGCTCTGCAACGATCTGTGCACTTGAGATAATAATAAAACACGGAATACAAAAACCACGATAAGCCAACAGATGTTAACACACTGCTTCATGAAGTAACACAATCTAAATGACAACACAAGGCACAGGATGAAAAACAGCACAACAAAAAGCAATTAAAGCCGCAAGCGGCGATGGACGGGTCCTTGCACCTACGCTTGTCGGCCTTCGCGCACGGCAGGGTGTGGCGCAAACCTGCTCCGGGCGGGACTGTGATCCGGCATGTCGAGTTTGGGGCAGATCGGAGCAAGTG